ATGGCGGTGGCGGTGGCGGTGGCGAGGGCGATGGCGGTGGCGGTGGCGGTGGCGAGGGCGGTGGCGGTGGCGGTGGCGATGGCGGTGGCGGTGGCGATGGCGGTGGCGGTGGCGGTGGCGGTGGCGATGGAGGTGACGGTGGCGGTAAACAACGACGAAACGAGTGTTTAGAGTTATAGGTTGTATCTTTAGCATAGTCGCTACCTTACGTGGTGAAACTTATTCACACGTGAATTCCATGAGAAGGCGATCTCGAGTGCACTGAAGCCATCGTACGTGATGCGCTAGACATACTGCGCAACGATCTAGCCATGCTTGATTAAGGGAGTTGGAAAATTGCCAACGCTAGTGGCTGAGACCCTGTGTGCAGGGGGTGCGTGCGTGTTTAGTTTATGCTTTACGCTTATGGCAAGAACTTTTCATTCGTCATGCATGGAAGCACTAAGACACGGTGCAATGTATTTACATTGTTCAGCGATACGTAAAAGGTTGTATCACAAGTTGGCCACAATTTCGCGACGCGCACGCGTTTATATGCGCACGCACGCCTGCAGACATACCCGCACATACACGTGCGCGCGCACACTCGCACACACACACACACACACGCACACACACACGCGCACGCACGCACACACGCGCAGGCACCCACGCACACATCTTACAGGGCAGCTTGAATCCGTGCGTTACATTCTTGCCAGCCTAAATACTCGCGCGCGACTTTATCTGCTCCAAAACTCTAAACGCATATTTCTCGCGGCTTTGGCTTGAGGATTAGACGTTCTATTCGAGACAGGATGACAACGGATTCGCTGCCGGCACGTTCGGCTACTCGGGTCTCGGGAATTCGGGTCGGATTTCCGGCAGAATATCCTCTCAAAATTGACCCGAAATCGATTGCAGGCACTTTTTGCATTTAGTTTTTCTCGGAATTTTTTTCTTTTCGTGGCGTTAACTGTGCCGCTATTCTACGTCTGAATAATGCTATTTGTGATTTTGTTTGCAATTTCTTCTCCCGTTACCGCTACTCTGGCCGAATATTGCGGTAACTTCCGCGCGCACACGATCGTATATGCACGAAGAGTTTGCTCTTGGCGACAGATTACGCAGAATAACGCGAACAAATGCTGCGTCGTCATCGCAATTGCCGTGCTTTCTGCGTTACCTACCTATTCCTAACGGAGGTGTGTTTCTCGTCTTTTTTCGCAGTTCCGTGGTTAAGGCTCGTGGAATTCTAAACAGGTGGCCGTAGCAGCCACAACAATACAAGGCGGCGCGAACGACCTTAGAGCGACCTTCAAGGAAGGAAGCGAGTGCGAGATGATAGCGTGCTGCATCAGTATCGGCAAGCGTATCTACGTCGTGGTAACAGATTGCCTCGCATCATATGACGTCGTCAGCGTCGGCTGAGCTAAAGCGACACGGCGACGTCGCTGTGCCGTGCGCCTGACTGCTTCTACGACTGTACGCATACATAGCTACACACACACACACACACACACACACACACACACACACACACACACACACACACACACACACACACACACACACACAACGAAACCAGCGGTAGCAAACTCTTACCGTGTCTTTTCGCAGAGAGTCGTGACGTCACCATCGCTAGGCGCACCAGTATAATCACCAGAGTCTGCTGCAAAGTCTTTCCAGTTCCTAACATATACACTATATGGTGTTATATGATTATCCAT